TTCTTCCCCATACTGATGCTCGGTTTGAACTGCAGGAGATTGTCTTGACCATGTCTACATGCCTAAATGCACTGAGTTGCCGCCATGTGATTGGTTGATTAGAAATTAAGTGTTAACGAGCAGTTGGACAGGCGTACCTAATAAAGTGGCCGGTGAGTGTAGATCATCTGTACATTCACTTTACATTAATACATCTGTACATTTTATTATTTTCAGTTTTTGATATTTAATTTACTGTATTTTACCCATGACATTCACCAAACGTGCAATATACCAAACATCATCTCTCGTTCATGCTGTACAATTGTTTATGCGTACATAAGGGGTTTCAAGCACTTATTTTGTAATCTTGTGTGTTTATACTTATTTTATTCTAGTGTGCTTATTTCTTTCTTTTCACATTTCTCTGATCTGTATGGTTGCAGCTGTAATTCCTGTAATTTCCCTCGGAGATCAATAAAGTATTCTGATTCTGATAGTCATTACTCCTATTTCATTTTGAGTTGTTTTCATTCTGGCTTGCTATTGTTAAAAAAAACTACCCATAAAAAATGGGCCTCCCGGATAAAGTTAATTTAATTGGGGTTGGATAAGAAGTATAATAAGACAGAACTGAACGCCAATCGTCACTGTCCCATGTCAGATGGACAAACAGAGAGCATTTCTATGTTGTAGACCATTCTGACACCATCAGTAGCGTGCACAGACATTTTCGGGGGTAGGTGCTCAAATGTAAAAAGAGAGCACCTTGTCCGGTGCATCAGTGGCTGTCCTAATAATGTGACCTTACAGACACATCTTGTATATTGTGCATATTTATCTATTTTAAATCAGATTTTTTTTCTGTCTGATTCAGATGTTTAATGCTCAACACTCTACAGGTTGGTTTCTGTAACAAACTGGCAACAACAGAACAAAAGCTAGTAATGACAATTTTTGTAGTGTTTATAAAATAACTATAATCAAGTTTATTTTCACAAAATTACTAATGGCTTTTTTGTTCTATGGAGGATCTTCCTTCAGTCATAGAGCTGTTTCCATGATCTGAATTCTAACAGTTCAGCTTCATCTGTGTCTGACGGAGGAAGGCAGGAAAACATAAMAGCTGCTTCTCTGCTGTAGCTAAAACACCAACAATATGAAATATGTTTATTTGGGTGAAACTGCTCGGTGACAAAGGTCAGTGCAATAAATTACAACATTTAAACTAAATTACTGTCAAAATGTAACACTCTAACACAGGGGGTCGAATTCACAAGGGGGCGAAATTTCCACACTTAGTCCAGATCAAGAGCCAATTTCTGTTATTTATAGAAACAAAATCAAATTATTCTTATTATACTAATTTTATTTTCCAAATTATGGTTTATGTTCCATTTAGA